TTGCTTCTGACCATATTTCCGCCAATTGTAACCATCAGACACTGGTGTCTTCACATTGGAAACAAAGGGTACTACTTTAAGATTAGAAGGGGATTGCTGGTTTGCTTCTGCAAGGGATGAGCTATTAAACTTCTGATCTGAATGACTTTGTTTCGGAGAAGTTGGTGACGGTTCTGGCAAAACAGATAACTGGAGCAGATTTTGTTTCGGAGAAGTTGGTGACGGTTCTGGCAAAACAGATAATTGGAGCAGATTTTGTTTCGGAGAACTTGGTGATGGTTCTGGCAAAACAGATTCGTGGACCCGATTTTGTTTGGGAGATTCTGTATCCTGGAAAGCCAAATTAGGCACTTCCTCGTGGGCTATCTTAACTTGCTCCTAAAGAAAATTTAACAAATAACTCAATGAAAGAACAATTCAATCACAGAAAGAGTTAATGGTACATATGTCCTTTCTCGTTTATATTACAATTTTTTTTAAGTTTGTTTTCCCTAGGAGAAAAAGAAGAGATAAGATGTCAAGGTCCTAGAGGAATAGATGACCACACGGATCTTCCACATCATTCTGATGGTTTAGAAGAACTCACTCAATGATCTAACTAGAAAGACAACATATATCATTACCAAAAAGATTGAAGTTAACAAAATTTGAAGATATAACTGGAAAAAGCTTTGACAAGGTACAAGGATGATTGAATCTTTGGGTAAACGATTTCCGCATCCTTTATCCATCTATTTAACATAGAAGTTGATAAAACTTTATCCTTTAGCATTCACTTTTATATTAAAAATAAATTAGACCCTTGAGTTCATGAACAATAACCCACAAATTTGCAACGAAAAAGAAAAAAGGATAAAAGTATAAAACTCCTTAGTAGATTAGGTCTTAATTGGCTTCTAAACACGGAACTTTGATTTTAGAAAAAAGGAGCAAACTTGACATGAGAAACAACCACATTCATATATCCCATAATTCAACTTTAACAAACCAAAGGTGCTGGTGAATTCATGTGAATGCATATATCCATATAGAGAGGTGAGATGTTTAATCTTGCAAATTCCAAAGACCTTAACTCGTTCATTTCCCAAAAGACCTTGTTGGCTATTCAGTGCAACACTACAATCAATAACATATGAGAAGAAATTTAATATTTACTGAAGCAGAGAAACACTGTTGCCTTCAGCACATTATTTCAAGTGCAAAGAACTTTATTTAATAATATTTTTTATCTTTAAAGGCAAAGATAGAATATAAGGAAAAACGTTTAAGGCAACAAAGTCATCGATCCCTACACCATCCATAGACAACTCTAATTTTAGTTTCTAATCATAGAAAAACATAAACAAAAAGTGTAGAGTTCAACCAAACAGATTAAAAGTAAGAACGATAAAAACATCGTAATCGTAAGTTTTCAGAATTAAAAAAGAAAAAGAAATAGAAACGAAAGTCTAGAAAAGAATACAGTAGTTAAAGAGTGAACTCCTGACCTTAGATTCAGTAACTTCCTTCGATTCCGAAGTGGAATTCTCCTGCAACCCTGAGAGATCACCGCACGGCGAATTTTCATTAAATAAATAGGGGGAAATTAACGAAATTCTTCACTTAAAAAAACCTTACCCTCACGACGATCATCATTCGTTAGGGTTTCCAACTGCGAGCCTTTTAACTCGGCATCACTCGACGGCGCCGCTTCAGCCTTGTCCGACTCATTAACTCGACTCACTCCTTCCTTTTCCTCTTCTTCATCCAACTCATCCACTTCTTCCTCTCCTCCTCCTCCTCCTGTATCGTCGTTTTGCTTTTCCTCATGCCCTTCCATCGGCCGCGCTTCGCTTTCAGTCTCGGCCATAACTCTCAAAAGAGCAAGAGAAGAGAAACTGCAGGTCTCGTTTCAATAATATTTATAACGCGAAACAGCATCGGAATTAGATTTGGAGAGAGATTGAAAGGTAAAGGAGGTTGCTTTAAAGAGAGAAAAAGGGGTATAAGTGTCTTTCTCTGACTTTCAATTGACTCGTCCTTTTCTTTTTCTTCCTTTCCCAGGTGGTTTCTCTGTGTAACAGACTCCACCGTTGATTTCTCCGTTACATCAGCCGCCCTTGATTTTGTTGACCTTTGACCCTTTCTTTTCATCCACGTCCACTCGCTGCTCGGTCCCACTTTTCCTAAGGTACCATATTTAGGTCTAATTCTGATTTTAGTCCTTTCACTATTTCTGAATCCGATTAAATTCGACAGGTTCAATCAGACAGAAAGGAGTGTTGGAAAATTTTAAAGATTTTGAGGATGATATCAAATTAATTAAAAAAATATAGATGCTTTTATAGTGTGTGCAAAGTTATCGAAACCTAATTTGATAAAGTTGTCAGCTACAAACGCCGACTTTGTTTGAATTCTTTTTACATTTTGAAGATTAAATTGAATGAAAATTAAAAGTATAGAAATTAAAATGAAATATTATAATAAAAATGAAATGATAAATTTATGAAGCGTCTAAAATTTTTTAAAAAATATTTTAATTCTTTATTTTTATTTATTTACAATTTAGAATCAAACTGTAAGAAAAATGAAATAAAATCGTTCACTGCTATTGACGATTTTACCAAAATTATCTTTATCTACAGACTACTTTACCTTAATTTTCCCTTAATTTAGTATCAAACTGTAAGAAAAAATTCTTAGCATTCATTTTCCCTTAATTTTGCCAATTCAGAATGATCCATTACTTGCTATTGTGAAACTGGGACTTGGATTTTTTTATTGTTATTTAATCATACGATCAGAATTGAAATAATGATTTTTATTCTTACGAGGGGCAAAAAAAGATAAAAATAAAACGTTATCATTATTTTAAATTATTATAATTTTTAAATGGACCAAATTATATTTTTATCATTTGAGGTGACAAAATATAATATTTCCACAATCAAAATTAAAGAAAATTAAACTTTAAAGGGCCTAAACTGAAATTTAACGGGAGCATCTTTAAGCTTTACAGTAGCTAAACTAAAATTTAACCATTTTAAGGGGGCTAATCAATGTTTAATTAATAAAAGTATCCACGTCATAATGCTTAAAACTAATGAAAATAATTCCATGTCATTTTAACAGCATGCAATTAGAATTGTCGTCAATTTAGATGTACTAAAGAACATTCTTTAAGAAGGGGACTAATCTATGTCAAATTAAATAAACGGATTAAAATCAATAATTTTAATACAGTAAAGGGACTAAAACCATAATTAAACCTGGATTTTATTTGGATTCTTATTCCCCGACATAAAAAAAATAATGAGTCACAAAATCGAGACCTATGAACTCTCCACGTGACTTTCTGGATGATAAGACAGATTCTAATTATTGCAAATACTTAAAAATCTATAGGATGTTTTTTTCTCGAATGTTTTAAATCTTTTTAAAATATTAGTATACATTCTTTTCCTTTTATTTTTTTAATCTATTATTGTACTAATTCTAATATTCATTGTTGATAGTTAATAATTTTTTTTCATATCATGTTTTTTATTTTCCTTTTTTCTTGAATATTTTTAATTTTGCACAAAATTTTGTTTATATAACGCATTTTTTATAATATTTTTCTTTTGTTTTTGTGGGTTATTTCTTATTATTTTCGATAAATTTTTTTGCATACTTTCATAGTCGTTTTGGTGTTCTCATAAAAACTCTCACAACATTTATTTTATGATTGGTTTATCAGTAATCACTTATGGTTAGATCCCTTTTTTGTTAAAAGATTGTTTGTCGATATAATCATAATTATGTAATGTTCGCTCATCACTCCTTTATCAGTCCGTAAAGTGTCTCGTTCGACATTGACATAATTTTTACGAAGATTATATTGGGTTTTTTTTATATTGGACGTTATTCTCAAAGGAATATTTTGTTTTCCTTCCTATTTTTTAATTTGATATTTTTATTTTATGTATAAACTTTTTGATAACTATTATTCTCATTTTTCTCTCTATGCTTGAATACGTTGTAATTTTGATTGAACTATCATTTTCATTAATAAAATTTAAATTTAGTTATCATTGTTAAAAAAAATAGTATACATTATTGTGGATATTTTATAAATATAGTTGACATCTTCATATTTGTTTATTATAAACAAGTTTTGATTAATTTCAAAATTAGTAGTTAACTATAGGGATCGAATAATGACCAAGTTTTGATTATTTTAGAATCTAGGAAATTCTTTTAATAAAATAATATCACAAGTTCTTTCGTATAATGATTTAGGAATTTAATTCTTTGATAATTTAATGCATTCTTTTAAAGCTTGGTTAAATAAAATTTATATAATACTTTAAAAAAAATTATTTATTATTTTCAACGTCGAAAAAAAATGTAAGTATACACTATTTAGGTATCATATTTTCATGTTTAATATAACAAATATTTACCAACATGTATACAAATATTCGTCCCTATAAGCAAATGCACCTGAAAACTTGGATTGCTAGTGAATAAAGCCTGCAGTAGTCTAACTTGCTGAGTGAAAACAGATACATTATTGGCTACAACTAATACTTTCATACACTGCTACCATATTTACCAAGTAATGTAAACTCTTCATTCTCTTCAATATATCCATGCCAGATACATATGAAGATGAGTACGAGTAAAACCCGTCGAATACACGAATACAAATAAAAGTGTGCGATTATACTCGTATCCGACTCTTACACCGACCCTAGATGAAATCGTCTAGGTATAGTAGTAGAATACTCGTATCCAACTCTTACACCAACCCTAGGCATAGTACTCAATCTATGGACCGTCCCATACAAACTTCAGCAACAAACGCCCTTAGCAATACCATAACCAAGGTAGGACTTTTAACATCATATAACCTTATATATAGCGCATAGATTCCAAATCATATTGTCGGCTTTTCGGCATCTTTTATCTGCAGTTTTCGCAATCAAAGAGTACAATAAAACTTGCAGTACTCTCACTTCTGTCATACTAATATTACATTCATTTCTTGGTTTGAAAAGCTTTAAAGCATACTATTTCCACAAACAAAACAACCCTTTGTACGATATACGAAATACCATCGACAACATATAAACTCTACTTCGGAACCAAAAGAATACTTTAAGAAAAGAGGCAAAAGCGACTTGAGCTTGCAAGTAGGAACAAAAGAAGCAAGTCGATTGTACAAACATGCACATGATAGTCCCCTAAAAGTTTCAATGTTTAACAACACTTCTTTAATAATTTATCATCCTAGGATCATAATTTAGGTAACGTACTGCCCTACTGAATCTTCCCATTTCTTTGGCTTGGCCTCTAGATTATTACATACACTATGCAAGGCCTAAGGCACAAAATATTTTCTCACCTAAGTAAGATAAGGCCAAATACATATTTATATGTGTGTGTACACAAACCCGAAAAGATCCATTGCATCTTAGTGTAGTTATTCTTTGGCACCGAGACGTAATGCCTACGAACATGCCAGGACAACATTGAGTACATTTATATAAATATCTTTTATCTCTATTAACTGCCTATGGCAGTCCTAAGATCTTTCTATATAAAGCCATGTTCAAATGATTTGAGACCGGTATACCTTGTTGGGAGAGACTAGAACCATACCGCTGATGACTTCTTCTGAAGTCACTAGACGGTGTTGCAGCTAATCCAACCCGTTTGTTCCTTACTACATGAACTCCAGTCGGTGGCATATCAATGCATGACGATTATTTTCTTTTGCTTTCTCCTACAAATTGTAAAAATAACAATAATACTAGAAAACATGTTTTTGTTTGGTAAGGGTAACCTGAAAAAAAATTAAACCTTTGAATTTTTTCAGCTTTCTCAGTTTCTCACGAAATAATATAAATTTATATCAATCATATTTAGAACCCTCGAACTTTCCCCCGGGGAATCAATTAATCCTCTGAAATTTTTACACCCAATTAAACCCATGTACTCAATAATTTCATCAATTTACTCCTTTGATCAATGTTAACCGTTAAGTCTAATGATTTTTTATCAATTGATGGCACATGTCACATCATGATATTTCCATGGTATTTCTAAAAAATCATCTACTTTTGATATATATATTTTTAGAAATTTTCTTTAAAAAAATGAAAAGGCCATGTGATAAAACTGTAGTGTGCCACATGACAATTGTATCTTAGAGAAAAAAAAAAGCAGTAGCACATGATGATTAAAATTGGTCAATGGAATTAATTGAATTTCTCAGTTCAAGAGCTGAATTGATTCGATTTCTTGGTTCGAGGGTTCAATTGGTACAACAAAATAGAGGCTTAGGGGCTGTTTGTTTACTTCAGAATGATTAAGCGCTGAATGATTCAAATGTTGAATGATTCAGAGGCTCCGTATGAATTAGCTCTAAATGTGACATGCTGTTTGATAATAGCTCTGAATCATTCAAAATGTACTTCTATGCTGAATCAGTCAACACTTATTCATTCAGAGGTGCGAAACAAACGTGCTGAATGCTGAATGGTTCCATTAAGAGGCAAACAAACAGCCCCTATTGATTTTTTTCTCAAAAGTTCGAGGGCTTCATTCACCCTTAAACCTTAATTTAATTTGTTTCGATTTTCTAAAAATATAATTCTATACAACAAATGACTCAAAAGGTTTTGTTGGAACTTCCAATCACATAGTATGTTTACCTACACCAAATTGGGGTTAGGTTGTATATGAGATATTGAAAATGTTCATTGAAGAAGTTAATGGATCAAAAAGGAACATATATACAAGTATCATAGGGCCATTAACCTCTTACCAAAAGACATGTTTGATAGGATGTGCAGCGCCATTTAACTCCATAACCTCCCATTTCCTTTCCGATGTGGGATTAATGTTCACACCTCACTTGACTCAAGATCAAGTTATCAAATTAGGAACA